CACGCTCTCGGGAATGCCCACGCGAAAAACTACGTGCTTTGTTATGTTGATCCCGGGGGAAATTATTCCTCGTTTTTCCGCGGGAGAGTCGCTCGACTTGTTTACTTAGGGCAGAGATTTCACTCCTTAAGGCCTTAAGCTCCTCGAGGGGGCACCAGAATCGTTAGGGTTTCTGGGGGAACTCGCCGAAGCTGCCTGGACCGCGAACACGCTGTTGTTCGTTGGCGTGCGCACTTCAGCTATCTTATCAGCCATTTTTGCTAAATTGTCTAAGGATTCCAAACTTATTGATAAAATGGCATGCACCTCGGAAGGTAACCTTTGCAGCCATAATGATTTTAAAAATTCGTCAGTTATACAGTTTCCACCTAATTCTCTCATTTTTCTCAATAAGTGAGATGGTTTGTCGTCCCCTAAATGCAATTCAGAAATAAGTCTGCGTATTTGCTCGCTTTCCGAATCTGAGAATTCTCCTATTAACCTAGCTTTAAGGGCATCATATTTAGCCGTCGCTGGGGGATTAAATAAAATATCTGATACTGCGGAAAGAGTTTCAGGGTCTATCGAAGAAACCACGTGGTTGTATTTTGTACTATCGCTACTAATCTTCGCTAAAGCAAAGTTACTTTCAACTTGAATAAACCAAAGTTTAACATTATTTTTTCCATAAAGGGGGAATTTTAACTGCCACGTGTGAGATTTGTGGCTCCTGAACCGCCATATTCGATTCCTCGTTGGTTTGGCCTTCCGATCCTGGCATGGTTGCCAATTATAAATATATCGTAAATCGTAAACTTAATGTTTTGCACTATACCTTATCAAAACAGTATCAATTTAGAATAAAATAACGAAGACATTCAATATCTCAATAAAAGTGTGAGCACAAATATTACTCAAAGATCAATTTTAAACAATCAATAATTAATTAAATTAAAACTATAATTTTAGAGCAAAACATATCACAAAAACATAATTAAGACCAATCACAGATAATTAAAAAAAATTTGACCACATACCTGTAAATCCTCCTTAAGTGTGATAAACCACGTGTAATCCGTACGATAAAAAAATGAGGAGGAAATGAATAGGGTGGAGCCTTTATCAGTCATAAGGAAGAGCATTGGCATCAAAATAAGGCATATTTTTAGTTTTTTAACAAAGATTGAGACAGATAGTCATTAGGGATCGAAACAGAAGGAGCGAGGGACAGGGTCACCAATGATGTACGTGTGAGTAACACGTGCATACGAAAATATCCCTAACATTAACTAGGAAAGCCGAAATCTTAGTTAAGATAGACATGTTACAATTAATAATCAAATTTAATAAGGAAAAGTAACAGTTGCCGGGTACATTATAACGGCTTAAGAAATTCAGAGCACAGTACAGATGCGAGTACACAAGTTCACATATCTCGGCGAAGCAGAGACGCACACATTTGTTGAAGTAGTTCCATTGACTGCTGGGGAAAATTCTTCTCTCCCCGTCAGCCTGTAGGTTTGCCAAACGGGTTTACTGTTTCGCCAATTGGCGCTTTTCTGTACAGTTTTTTAAGTCCGTATCGCCTGTTTGCCGCTGCCGCTGCAATGTCTTCATTTTCTGTATGAATGATCTTCCAGATTTGAAGTCCTATGAATTTAGATTGTTGGGCTCTTGAAATCGCGGTTATGTAGACTTCAATGATATTCACTTATCTTCATTCACAATACTAAAGAATATAGTACCCATCAACACATGTTAATGATTCCTAAAAATGAACGGTTCCATGTTATCTGTAACATCATATGATATGGATATCGAGATTCAGATAAATAACATCCTGGCATTGCGTCAGAAGGAAATAACATCTGCCGAAAAATATCTCTTATTTGGGCTGGTTAAAACCTAACTATATTATAATAATAATTGTTATAAGTTAAATTTGTTTTCAGTTTACATAAAGTGTTATAAATTTGTTTGTTAGAGGCATATTTTAGAGTTCCATTTAATTTATTCGATTTTCTTAGACATTTTTTTCCTTTTTGGCGATACTAAAAATAAGGGTTACGTCTTACAATCGATGGTGCGTTAGAATAAAAGAAATGCTAAAAATGGTTTTGCTGGCATTAAATTTAAATGTTAGCGATAACAGTGCACTTGTTAGCTTTATGAAAAATTTTTCTCCTGCCTTATAGCTTGCATTTGTGGTGTAATTCTAAACACTTCAGATCGGAAGGTCCGGACGTTGAATCCTGGCAAGGCCAATGCTCATGTTTCGTGTTTCCTGCTCCAAAAAGTTTAAATCGGTCTACAAGAGGCGCCTGAACTAAGAATGTGGTGGAAAATGAATCTTCACCGTCTGAATTTGACTACCCAATCACTCTTTGAATGGGACATAATGTAAGGGATATTTCGTTTTCCTTTTCGCTTGCTTTCGTGGTGTGATTGGAAGCACATCTGGCTGGCAGTAGGGAAGTTCGGTGTTTGAACTGCATTGAAGGCAATGATAATTTTTCTCTTTTCCGATTCAATAAATACCTAATTGCTCCACGAATTCTCACAAAATACAGCACATGCGATTAAGCAAATTAAGCATTCTATATTCATTATCATTAAATAGGTTTAAACATTTCATTACTTTTAAATGGAAATACAAAGGCTGTTTAAAAAGTATTCATGGAACAGCATTATTCTTGAAGTTTATCTTATCACTGGAAAACTACTAAACGAAACGGCTTATAATCCATCATACACAGATATGAAAGTGAATTTATTATCGAGATATTAAGTGGCTGTTTACAGACTTTTAAAAGACTTTTCTCTGCTTTATACCAAATGCCTTCAATAATTGTTTAGTAAATGTTCTTTCTGATAGATCTTTCTCTTGGTTTTTGGTACATATTCTGATTTCCAGCATAAGTAGGCATTTGTTACAGATAGCAAGGGTACCACATATTTCTCCTCCTGTCACCTACTGTCTTTTGTAGTCCAAACATAAATTTAGTTTTGCTTTCAAAAAGCTTTCCTTTTATCACTCCAAAAGCATGTTTACTAAAACATAAAAGGGCTTTAAAGAAGTGCGAACAAAGACGAAGATTTAGTAACAACTTTTCATTACGGTTTCAAAATATTCAGCGGTAGATCTGATGCAGTCTGCTTCATTCAGGGCTCTCTGAAAAAAGACATGGACTTAATGAAAAAGTTAAAGTTTTATTTTGATAAAATATAGAGTTTTACTTTAAAAAAACTTTCCTTATAGCTCTTTAAACGTCTTTTGAGAAGCCAAAATTAATCAAACCTCATCTTTGGAACTTTATTTGAATTATTGTCCTCTGCAAAATGTTTAGGTTATTTTTTCCAGTTTTGATGAAGTAAGACGCATTTTCCCCTTAAAGTTACGTAATTAAGTCCAAGCTTCTACAAAACTCTCAACATATACCATTTGTGTCTAATTTTATGAAGTTCTATAACTCGCTTAGCATTTAGCCTCATGCCAGTGTTTAGCGATATGCTTTTTAATATTTAGATCTTTATTTATCATTTTGTTTACTTTTTATGGAGGTAAAATAATATTATGATTGTTTTCCGAGGATGGCGGCTTTTGTTATAAGACCTAAATTTTTATATTTGAAACAGTTGGAAACATATGCAGATTTTTTAAGAATATTTCCTTGTTACTTTCCTATGTACAAAAAAATAATGCAACTCATTACACCTCTGCGTTAAAAATACCAATTCCATCACTTTTAGGCAGTTTAATTAGAGAAAAAACGACTGTTATTCCTTTCATCAAAACAGTTGAAAATATGTATACAGTCTTTGTAGAACAGAGAGCAAAAGCGAACTTTCAATCCAAGACTTATTTGCCCACGCCATTCTTAATACGCATTGATATACAATTATAGCAGATGATGATTTAGATTAAAATGACTAGTTACTGCCAAGTAATTGTTTTGTGAACGCTTTGGATGTAATTTAATTTAGAAGTGAGCTGCAACTCTTTTGGCCGATAATAATTGTCTTCATGGTTAACTCAGCACACCCAACACATACCAAAAAAGTACAGTTACAAGATTAAAACACAGATCAAAACAGAAATACAGTTAAAAAAACATCAGATCAAATGCTTTGGATATCTTATTTTTCGCCATCAAAATAGTAACTAAATGCCTGCTTTTTTCAATCAGGTACAAGGCCTTAAATCTATTGCTGATGCTAACGATCTTAGCATAAGTTTCTTCATTCAGCATCGCAACTCTCTAATGATGGAAACAGATATTTGATAATAACCTAAGTTATGCTTCACTACATGTACATTACGCTTAGATTGATTTTATCTTCCTCCTGCACCAAAGTACGTATTATATTATGTCAGATTTAGAAATAAATAGTTTAGTTATAAGTTTTAATAGTTTAGTTAGAAATAAAAAGTTTATAATTAAATTTTTAGTTAAGTTTTATTTTTTTTTATTCGACTTGAATTCGTAATGCAGAGTCGAAATTTGGAAACATTTAGTATCTTATTTGTCTGATTAAAGGCGATTGCATTAGTTAATCTCAAGTAATTTAATATTTTAAATAAGATAACTTAAGGTTTAGTACTTGCTTATTTTCTATTACTTACACGGTATCTTAAGGATTAGTATTCGTATACGTAAGGACTTGTTAGTGGCTTCACTCTATGACACTACGAGTTAATTATCACTAAACGTTTTTGTTTTTCTCTACAAATTGAGCTGCACTGCTTTTCGTAAGTCCGTTCTACTCAGGAAATTAGGATCCCGAAGAAAAGCAAAAGGAGGTCAATAATGGAAATAACGAATTGTCTTTACTTTTATATATATCGCATTATGTTAAACAGCTTCCATAAATTAAAGCGCCTTGTGTAATGAAGTTTCATGTTTTCTTTCTCGATGTATTTCTTAAAGAGAAATTATCATTTCATCAGCAACAAGAAATAACATTATTTACAACTGAGAAACCTTATTCTAAAAAGAAATTCTTAAATTCTAGGAAACTACCTGTGTAATGGCCAAAGCAGTGACACCGGTATGAGGTTCCATTTCTTATGCATCTGCCCTTATGCTGGCAAGGGTTGGGTTTACATGAATCCACTGAATCTGATGGCAAAGCGAGTGTTGTATTTACAAAATGATCATCTAAATAGAAAAAGACTTTTGATTATCAGAAGTGCATGTCTTATTTATGGCTGCCAGGCTATATTAGGCACATTAGATTAGTAACACTTGCACTAACATAACAACACTTACACAAACCCTACACATAATTCAGTGTCTCGAAAATATTCTTCGTGTTATTATGACTGTTATAGAAAATATAACTATCGGTTCTTAACTATGTATTCTTATAAAAACGAATATTGCAATAATCTGTTCCTCTCCCCATTTGTTTATTTTATTTCACTAAAAATGTTTTCTTTATTTAATTATTTTAAAAAATTAATTTTCTTTTAAATTATCACTTGCTTACTGTTTACATTTACAGTTTACGTCGAGTTTTAAGCTAAGGTAATTTTGAAAATTGAAGTAATTAGCCGTTCTGGAAAGGAATTAGGAAAGTAGCCTTAATCATAATTATGTACCCGTTTTAACTGAAAATAAATTAATGAGTTACGTAATCTCTTCGTAAATGTATCCTGGTACTCACACAATGTCTGATTCTAAATAACCTAATTTTGCAAATTTATTTTGTTTAAAACTCATATGTAGGAACCAATTAACGTACTTACCTTTAATAACCTTGTAGTCAAAGTAAAACAAAGGCAAACTGCCATCAAAATTCCAAGACTGGATATTCAAAACATGCAGTGTCGACCAAAATCCTTCCGCATCTTCCAAGTTTGTAGATTGACAAGGACTCCAGAAGAAAAGAGTTTTTTGTACAGAATAATAATCCTGAATCAGGATTCCGCTGCCATCGCATGCTATGGATCTTTCAGTAGATGAGTAACTTATGTTAGGTGAACGAAGGTAAATCTTGTAACCAACAGGGACTATCATTCTCTGGCTGTAGTTGAGACCTACTGGCAGCTGATGTTGGAAGTTAAGACTGTAAATCTTACCTTTTCTTCTAGAATTTAAGTAGAGAGTGCTCTCTAACGTATTCTCTCCCCCTATTAGAAAAAGCACAGAGTTCATTTAAAAAAATTCATTTAAAAGTTCTATTAAAATTAATAAATAATATAAAACATGGTAATGATTACTTTAAAACAAGTTTTCTTTTAGATTTTTTGAAGTTTATATCAGATGATTTAAAAAAACGACAGTTGTTATAAAAATATTAAATTGTATTAAAATTTTGAAAGAAGATTTTACCTTCTTTTTCGAGATTATTTCTTAATACATGAAAGAAATCATTCTGGTATTTGGGCATCTCATTAATAACAAACTAGTGTATAATTTGATAATGGCATTTGTATTCAGTTGCAGTAAAATAGCCTGAGAGTGAAAAAAAACTTTCAACAAATATTTCGTCGGTTATTGAAGTGCGAAACAGCAAAACAGCGAAACAGTATCGAATTAACGAAGTAAAAATGGAAAACAAAAATCTTTCAAATTCGCCTATTTTGTACTGATTATCATGATACGAAGAAATGAAATAAAGGGAAAAGGTGGCAGTAATAGGCATGATTACATAGAATGGTGATGCAAGTTTTGTATCGTGTATCCGTGCCTCTAATTAAATTATTGTTTATAAGTTCTGGTGGTGGTATTTCCCATTTTTCTATCAGAACCATTTCAAACTACTGCAGATATATTTGCTTTTTGTTGCAAAAGTGTCTTCAGATGTTTGTCTATAGTGTCTCCGACACATTTAATGCGATTCAGAGAAAAGGAGGCCAAACAGTTCAAGTGTGTCTTCTGTTTTCAATAACATATAAACAGTTAAAGTACTAACTTATTATGTACTTCTATCTTGCAGATAGAAGTACATAATAAGATTATTTGACTGATTAGTATACACTAAGTAATATACCGGCTTCCAGTATATGCAACTCTATAAGCGCATCTAATACAGTATTTTTTCAGACTATGTTTTGATCTGGTTTGTAAATTCTTATGCAAAGAGAAAAAAAAAGCTTTTCTTCCCCTGCCAAAAAATTATATAGAAATCATAAATTTGTATCATAACTGCAGTATATTATAGTTTCCCTCTTTACTGAAGTGCTGACAGTAGGATAACATCGAAAGTTTAAGTTTACTGATTATAACGGGATGATTTTTTTTTTACTTTCAGTTTTGTGTGTCGCATAGTTGAAATAAAATAAATAACTAAATTATTAACTGGTTCAAAAACTGGTGTTTTCTTGAGAAGTTTTTGAACCTTTGCTCTGTTTATTAATTAAAATAGTTATGCGGCTTTCTCCTCTTCTCTGAAAGATACTTATTCCATCGACAAGCGCGATAACTGATAACTCGACTATGCGAGTCGTCAGTTGCATTTTAATTGGAATGGAAAAAAACTCGCAAAGATAGACTTAATTTCGATTATTCGGGAGAGATGTTCAACAATACTAATGTAAAATTGAGTAAAACCTTCAATCCAGTATTGGTTTTTGCCTAATTGGGAAAATATATTTCATTGTTAAAGTCCGGAACCTGGAGTCGTATGTGAATGAAATTGCAGTAAGATTGCCTTAAAGGGAAAAAAACTGAAAATTATTTCGTGTCCTCCTTTCCTCACTGGATAAAAGGAAGAAAACCATAAGAATGTGTAAGCTTATTGGACTTTTGATTCATCTGTGAGAAAAAAAATGTAATAAAAAAACGAAGACTTTTAGCTTTTTGTTTGCAGAACAAAACCCATGAAGAGGTCTTTACAAGTAAAATATCACATTGTATATATAAAGTATTTTCTTCCTATCATCATGCCTTTGTCGTGTAATTGGATGCATACTCGACTTGTATTCGGGAGGTCCGGAGTTCGAATCCTGGCAAGGACACTGTACATTTTTCACGTCTCCAGAATTAAAATGTCCTAATGACTCTACATAGAGAACTTTACATTGTGAAGAAGATGAAGAGATGGCAGATACATTCAATTGAAAGAGTGAAGACATGTCGGCTTAGGGGGGGAAAAAGGATTTTAGAGAACAACAACAAAAAAAAAATAATAATTTGGTCACAAAATAAAATGAAACATAGAATCAAACCGAACTGAATTTGAAGTTTTCTTTTTGCTAGAGATAGTATGTTTATTTCTATTTTGGAACAGAACCTCATTTAGTTGCAGTTTGATATATATATTAATAATACTGCTGTGCAAGCTCAGCTTCCTTGAGCCTGCATTATTCAAAATTTTAGACTTTTCTTTACTGACGTCAGAAAGTCTTGCACTTCTAAAGTGTGAGATTAATAGACAAAATGAAGTCGATAAACATTCTGCTGATATCTTGTTTCCAACCTTTCAGTAAGGGAACTATTGATAATAAAATAATTATTACAAGGGCGTATGATTTAATAAGTGAAAGGTACATTTTATTGTTTTTACGTACAGATTACAATTATTTATATTAATAAACGATGAAATTCAGTTTTTGAGAAATTGTTAATAAAAGGCATGCAAACCTTCGCATCATTTGTTGCAATTAAAAATAGCATTCAATTCAACTCTTCAAAAATATCTGCAGAAAAATTGTTTTGACTTACAGGTTTCGCACGTAAGGTTATAACCACGATTTTTTGGGCTTCCCATTGTAGTATCTTCAGCGCTATGAAAGACAAAATGAGCCTCGTTACCATACGCTAGAAGCTGGGTACCGGGTAATATATCATTTCCACATAATTTAATTTTTTTCATCTCATCAGCTGGATCCAGGTTTACCTATGGATTAAATTAGAAGTTGTGAAAACATGAAAAAGCGCAACGTAACTTATGTAACTAGAATGCAGATTTTACGTTTACGTAAATGGTATAAATGGATAATGCATGTATAAGGTATAAGACAAAATACACTAATAAATATAAATGAAATCATCGAGAACAAAGAAAATTAATATTAATGTAGTATTTTTAATACTGAACGATTTAAGATGAATGCAGCAAATTTTCTTCCTATTTTTAAATAAAAAGTTTTAGCCCTCATTTTAAGACTACTTTGTAAGATCTAGTATACATTACGTGAGTATTTTTCATATATAACTTTATATGTATTACACGCATATCAGTGTGAATGCCTGAAGAATAGCATATAAAATCAGGCAAAGCTGAGATTTGAAAATATGAAATACTCCATTTTCGACAGTCTTGAACATTAAAAATTGTATATTTAAAGAGTTACATTAATAATATCATTATGTAGCCAGTAGTCAGAATGAAATTTGTTTAATATTTGTATCTAATGTGTTGCGTTGAAAACGATCTTACAGTACAGTACTAACGATCTTACAGTAGTATGTGTGTGATTACACACATCCATAAAAAATTACATAGGGGACTTGCATACAGTACTGACTTCGAAAATATAACATCAGAGAAAACCCAGTTATTCATATATCCATTTCATACTTTCTAAAGTTCCCGTAAATATTACCAACAAAACATTTTCTTAAAACTTTGCTTTCTTCTCTTCCGAGACAAGTGAAAACTGAAAAACTGATCAGGCGGAGAACAGACCAGTTGGATAGATTAATTTTTTTGCTTTATTTGATTATGGTAAAATGTGTTAAGTGTCTGTTGACCTAGTCACCAAGTGGCGCATTACGACTAGTACCTCCGGGCTATACTACATAGCATCTGCACTCGTAGCAGTTGCAACGGGTGCAACATGCATTGCGGCAGAAAAAGCCAGCGTAAGTTAAATTGCAAGAGTTTGCTGTTTTTCCACGACAATGCAAGACGGCCCTTCGTAAGGACCACCAGTGATACCCGTGATACCATTAGGCGGTTTGGCTGAGAGACTATACGCGTTCCGGACATAGCTCCTATTATTCCACATAGCTACCACCTCTTCCATTCGCTGAGCAACCATCTCCTTGAGAAATCTTTTGACAGTGAAGGAGACCTGCGGGACGTGTTCCTTTCTTTGCTTCCAAGATCCCCGCGTGTTATTCCCAAGGCATTGCACAGTTGCAAGAACTTTAGAAAAGCATGCTGTCTGTTATACATATGTCTGATCTGACAAGAACATTTTTGGTTATATTGTATTTGCTATGAGAATGACTATAATGTTCATTACGTATCAAGAAACAGATATGCAATAAAACTGTGTCTATGGAATTTAACTTTTTTTGTAATTTACGAAGTTATAAATCTATACAATAACTCTGTTAATTTTAAAGCTTTATTTTAATGCTAGTATTATATTTCGTGATAAAAATTTTAGTAATGAATTAATAAATAAATGTTGGGTATCAAACACGTCAAAGAAGTTTACTGTATTTGATTTTTACTTCAAGGTAGTCATCCATACAGTGGCCTAGATCAAGATCGATAACAGTCAGCAGAAGACGTTTCGATGTTGACGAAGCACTGACAGTCACACGGCACTCCAGTCCACCCAAGTAAGCCCGGGGATATCGCAGACTCGTGATATGAGTTGGTTCTAGAATTAGCAGCTTCCTGTTAAGGCAGACAGAAAGGTCAACGATTTCCCATGAAGCCAAATAACCTGAAGCCGTAATTGAGAAATCTGAATGGAAACTGACGTAAGCTTTGTTTGTCCTAGACACAAATTCTCTGTAAAATGAAGAAAATAAAATTTTAATATTATAATTTACAACACCAAACAAATAAATACGTTTCTATTTTAGACATTTCTTAAATTACAAATAAAGTGATGACCTAATTTTAAAAGTACAATAAATGGGTCTAAAAATAGCAGTCTAAAAAAATTAAGTTTCTTACCATGTTTTTCCAACGATGGGTCCTAGCCGTTCATAAGCATTGGGCACTACTAAGGCTTGAAACTGTACTCCTTTTTTTATGGAAGGTCCTAATAGGTGGGCCACTGTTGCTTCCTATGAAGTGACGGATAAATTGCAGCCATGCCTTCAACGCAGGGTTTAAATTGCACCAAAACGTGGCTCAGGTACTTCGCAGTTTCTGATGTAAATCGTAATTCTAGCCAGAGCGAAATGGAGTCCTAAACAAAAGAGCTGCAGTAGTACTCCTTTTATATAAGTGAAACACGGAATCCTGGAGAAGGTATGGTTGTAACTGTCCGTCGTTTCGTAGGAGGCAAAGGTTGTCACCTATTAGGTGCTTCCATGATGAAATGGCCACCACTTCCGAGCCTTGTAGTGAAGAAAGGATAAAAGGATAATGGCTATTAAATAAAGCGCCTGGCCATTAAAATAAATGTGTTGGTCTTAGCGAAGGAACTTGAAGGAAAATACTTTAATTCTCTGCCATCTTTGAGATACAAAGATTTCTGGTGTATCAGTCACCGTATATTCATTACGTTACAGCCAATTTCATTGTTTGAAAAATGTTTATTTATTGAGAAAATATGCAAACATTACAATCCCAAACCATCAGGATTAAAGAAAACCGTCTACAGAAAAAGAAACAAAAAGTAAATAAAAAGTGTCACATTTCATTTTCTTTTTGCTTACGGCATAAAAGCAAAGATATAATGTGTTGCCATAGTACCTAGAAGCTTTCCTTCTCCCATAATAAAGTAATTAAATGTTATACAATCCAGAATATATAAACATTGTTAAATTGTCGATTAAAATCAAATTAATTAATCGTAAAAATAATTCAAATGTAGAGTCATCAATCTTCTGTTTTCTGTTGAGAAACGCAAGAGTAATACTAACAAAATTATATTTCTTTAGATTTTGAAGTGTGTGTCCTTTTTGGTTTGGAAGAATGATTTAATTTAAGTTGTATGGTTTTCCTTATTTTGCATAACACATTTATTTTAAGTTTGATTTCTTGTTCGAAACTTCTCAATTTCTCCTAACATTTTCTCTTCAGGATGTAAACTTAAAGTTAAGGGAAGTGCTTTTTAAAAGTGTGAATATCTCAGTTTTTTCAGAGCGTGTTTCGCTAGCCAAGTGCACGCTTCGTTGTTATTTTGTGGTCACGCTAGTAAGACTCTTGGCCTTAACAGATTAGTATCATGCCGGTCAGATTTCTCTGAGACCACGTCTTAGGCGTAAATTTAAGTGCGTTCTTGCACTATTTATTTCAGGTTTGACTTTATTATATTCTACATTTTAATTCTCACCGCAAATGGACTGTGTTTTTGTAACTCACGAAGTCCATGCCTTTCTGTTAAATTAGTTTGAATTAATAAAAGGTTATTTTTCACTCTTTCTTCTGTGCTAGTAATTTATTGACGCTTGTGCGAGAATTCGCCAGGTTCATTGTAGGATCTAATTTAATATGTGGAATAATAGAGATAGGTCTTACAAAGTAACCAAATAAATTTAGTGTCCATATTAAACTGCTAGAAAGTAACGGTAAATCATTAACTGTGCTTATCTGTTAATCATAATAGACTTTATTTCTTTCCTCAGTGTGTTTTTAACTGCCCTCGTCTAACTGTACTTTTAGGTCAGTCGTGGAAGTCATCTCCGGCGTTACCCGGCTAATGGGGTAACATCATCACTCTATAAGATCTCTTTAAAATAGCTCGGCAGAAACCGAAAATTTATCTTACGCGGAAGAAATTTCATTGGCATTATTAATCATGTCCGCTGCGTGGTTTCATATTTTCCTGTTATTATTAATCATGTCCACTGCATGGTGCCATATTTCCCTGTTATTATAATGTACAACATTCTTTCTTCAGTTGAACTTTATTAAAATACGAAAAATAAATCAAAAAACAAAATTTTTATAATAAAATAAATCTAATGGATGCCAATGATCGTATTTTTCTGTCATAATTTGCTGTTAAAGTGCAGACGTCTAAGAATCACTAATTTTATCTCTAGATAAGCTGGTATACAGCAGAAATTAATATTCACCTAAAACTAATTACCGAAAATCGTCCAAAATCACCTTTAAAAGTAGCAGTCTAAAAATGCATTGAAAAGCATATTCCTCATGACAATGCCTCTAGAACACGAGCGTCCGCCAGCGGACAAGCGGTAAAATTGCTGAAGACTGGAATCTTGGTCTGATTTCTGGTGAATGGGCTGGTGGCATTAGCGTTTTCATGGTTTTCCCCACGTGTAATGTGCATACGAGTCAGTTTCCTTAAGAAAGTCCTCTACGAAGTCATCTCTTTTCTTAGGCAGATAGTGCCATCGCGTGCTTTGCCATTCAATTTGTCATCAAATAAACCAAATATCTATTACACGAAGTGTAACCACAGTTTCTTTATTCCTTTAATCTGGGAGTTAACACATAATTATATTTTCAGAATACGCTTTAGAGAAGACTGTTAAAGAAGCATTTATTCCTCTTAAAATTTCTCCCTCGTATTCTATTTTGCGTTTAATTAATTTACACTTATGCAAACAGTCTTTAAAAAAATGTTCTGTTCTTTTATTTAGATCATACCACTAAACTCTATGTGCGGTTTCGTAATAAAAATTAGGATTTATTAGATTATGGCAAAAGACTATTGGAAAGTCTCCCTAAAAGGGGGAATTAATCGTATTCACGTTACACAGGTGACAGGTGACAGCAGGGCCGGACGGCTTTCAAAGACTAATCGGGTATAGTGCGGACCCACTCCATCTATAGCATAACATGTTTACAACATAAAATACCTAGCGTTGCATTACCTACACGACAGGAGGGCATTGCATGGCGACATAACATAACTCAGACATGACATGGCATAGCATTCAACGTGACATAGGATAGAATATAGTCATTGCATAGGGACATAACATATTTACAACATTAAATACACAACGTAATGTAACTTACACGACAGATGGAGACAGTATAGCGACATAATATAGTTAAGCATAACATATTAGCGACATAACATATTGAGGTTACATATTTACAGCATACAATTCGCAGTGTGGCATGACCTATGCGACAGGTGGACATTGCATGATGACATATCATAGCGTAGCGTAGACATAACATGACACAGCATTGCAACGTGATATGACATAGCATAGCATAAGGATTACATATTTACAGCATTAAATACACAACGTACATGAAGAAAGTCGAGAAACTTCCCAGGCAGACAAGCCAGTTCATTAAGATTTGATCCCGAGTCGAACTACCAGTGTTCAGCCTTGGCCTCTGGTGATTTCTTCTCAATACGAAATTAATAGTTTTAAATATGCTTCTTAAATACTTCCTTACTATCTCCGTCTTAACCCTCTCTCTACGCATCTCGAGATTTCCACGGGCAACTTAAAAGTAGCAAAATTTGCGCAACCTCCGATTTCCACGAGGATGAATTTTTGCCATTTATTTAACTGTGCAACCCGTTCTTTTCTCGTTCAAGGTTTCCTTTCGGCTTTTCTGTGACGTTTAATTGTTCATTTAGATGTGGACTAACAGATGCTTTTAATTGTCCACATTTCTGCCAAATATACAAGAATACGTAATATAGCATTTTGCGCGCGCTTTTCAGAGCTTAGAGATATCTGGCAGGAAGCGTTTAGCGAGTGATATAACCTATATTCCTGACGATATTTCCGACATTGATAGTAGTTCTGACTCTGATTTCAAGTATATTGAAGATAGTTATAGCGAAACTGATGAGAATTTCTTGGATTCCTCTGAAGATAGTGATAAATCTGAAAATTCAGTTTCCATTGAAAACGTTCGACAGTAGTGCAAAATTGACATGCAAAATATTACATTATGCAAATGTTTTCATTTGTATATATGTTTTACCTTTGTATTTTATAAAATAAATCATAATTTAAGCAATATTAATGTTTAAAATTTTCCTTTTATATCATTATTCTTCAATTTCTGTATTTTGACAACCTTTTTCTATGTTCTAATTCTATATTGAAAAAAAAAAAAAAAATGTATATTTTAACTCTGAAATATATGTAGATTTGAAATATGTAATAAAAGATACGCAATTTTTGAACCTATTTTGATAAAAAAAGTACGCAGCGAGAGGGTTAATATAGGTTGTACAATTAGTTTTAGAGTCTAGATAAAGTACCCAGAAAAATTATCTTACTGCTTTTTTTAATGGGAATTGAACTTTAAAGATGAATAAATAATAGAAACTGAACCACATGCGTTTAGTATCGACTGTAAAAAGTGTTTGATAGCACGGTAAATAGAAGTTTTAGGTTCCACGCAAACCACCATATAATTCCTCCATATCCATTGCTTCAATTTCATCCACATTGTACATATACATAGTCGAACACGAAATGTCAAACCATTCTGCATAAGATGTACTTGATAATACTATAATCAAGATTTTAGTGCACAGAATTCCATTTCCTTGCAATGATGTAGCAAAGTGTAATCAAAATCTCCCTTTTTCTACTTTTAATAAAATTCGAAACAAGGTCTTTCATGCAGCAACTTAAGAGAGGAAAAAGAAAATTTGTAACCAACCTCTCGCTGAGATGTTCGCCACATAATTTGGTTCCTTCTTCTTTCAAATCGGAACGCAAGAGCACAAAATCGTAAAGGCAATCTTCTTGCCATTCGAGATCAAAGTGATGAAACGTGAGCACCACACGGGAATTGGATGGTCCAATGACTTCGGCAATATAATCGAGGTCGTTGAGATAATTCGATGGGTAATTCACAGATGTTAAATTGCCATGCATTTGACTCACTGTTTTATTCAACTCTTCCGGTACAACTAGAAGAGAAAAACGTTTGAAAACATACACCTTTTATATACATTCAATTGTTTAATTGCTAGAAATGTCAACATTTTTAAATATTTTAATTAATTACTTTACTGACATTGTAGAAAATAAATAATACTTGAAATAGAGATAATCACAAGTCAGACACAGTGTATTCAATTATATCAACGACTGTTAAATTATGGAAGGATCACACGGCATTGTAAAACAGGACATGTGTTTTGCCTTCCGCAAAACATAACGCGTTAGTAACCTGCTGTTAATTAGAAGTCTTACAATAGAATAAATAGTAGATTAAGATACATGTATTCAATATATGTTTTAACACAAATAATTAAGTGAAAGAAAATCATAAAAATAGCAAAATCCACTAAACGTTATTCATATAATTTTAAGTCTTTTGTCTATGAGATCAAATTTCTGTCTAACAGTATCTATATTAATATATACTTTAAATACAATGCACTTCTATTCTAAATATCACACATATTATCAACACTAAAAATCGGAAAATGAAAAAAAAAAAAAAAATTAATAATTTTAATTTACAGAAACGTAGATTCATGTTTCGTTAACGAGGCAGCGACAGATTGATTGCTTTATAGTAACAAGGTAAAAGCAATCGATGTGACTTTTTCAATAACTTATTATGATATTTGACAATTTATGACAAAATTTTACGACATAAAGTATCATATTAATATTCGTAATGCACATTTCTGGCTATCTAAAATGCAATAGTGTGAAAAACCATAGGTATCGAAGCCAAACTTGGTAGAAACATGTCAAAGTGCAAACTCGGTGGTGCCATACTTGCCGGACAGCCATACCTAGTGGACAATATATAAGTTACAGAGCTCAACGGATTAAAATAAGAAACCCGTTCATATTGCGGGAAGGAAGGGTATCTCTGTTTTGTGTAGTCACTGCCAATTTCCACCAGCTTCTTTCAAATTTATTTTCAGTTCCCTACAACCCTGCCGGGAATATCGGCGTCGCGTCTGACAATAGTTACCGTAGATTCTGGTCGATTCTCCTTTCAATAAAACAGTTACGAAATATTAGCTATTTATTATCATGGCAAGGAATAACAAATATACATGACGGAACATCTCCTTGTATTCGTGTAACGGTAAGTCCAGAGAGGAGGAGACAGTCCCCTTCTCTTCAATTGGTCTTTTTTATAGTCTTTTATTCCTCCTTGTTGATGAGACGCTCTCCTTAGGCGAAGGAGCTTAGTACGCGAGTCATACGAGTGGTTAGGTCCGCTAGACATTCAAGATGAAGCAGAAAAACTCAGCAGCTCTTTATCTGACACTCCCAAGCAAACTGATTAAGAAAACCTAATAGCTTTATGTGAAATCATCAAGTATTTGCCCGCCGTCACATCGAAAATTTTAACTTTCTATAGTGGATTTGTGTTTAGTTTTTGGTTGTAGGGCCAGAAATTCCTACATAAGGGGATCAACGAATTTCAAGGTCACGTTGTTAATGCATCAACCGCCTTTCGTGAAAATCTTATGGTTTTTTTTTTTTAAGTAACCCAGTTTTTCTATTATGCTCTCTTATTATATCTAATTTCGTCATCCCCAACCAAAAAGCAAATTGGTTTACGCATATAAGTTCAGAGTTCTTGAGTATGGGAGAGGGAAATCTTGGAAATCTTACTGACCTGCTAAACTGTTTACGCCTCTCTGTTACTTAATTTGAATTGATTGGATTTATCTTCGGCAAGAAATATTAATTTCAAGGAATCTTTAGCGCCCAAGTCGTTCTTATGTAGGGATGTGTTAAATGGCATTTTACCTTTTAATTTGATTGGTTCTAGATTTAACGCAAGTAGCGGATATCGAGTTTCTGCTATCGTGTTAGTTTGTGCAACCGTCAGAATGACATGGGAAAGACAGATTTTTTTTTAACTGTCCTTTGAGTTTGTGACTTCTGTACTTAGAAGGAAGATGGGGCAAGAAACCGTCTACCTGAACGGTTAGAAATTTGCATATAAAGAGATATAGAATCGTACAATATTTGGTTTTCTTTCCAATCCCGTTTGGGTACTGGAAGGCTTTTATTTATTAAATTAATTTTCATGACCGCTTTTAACTTATAAGATGAGTTTTTGAAGTTTTTTTCTGACTTACAATAATTCGGTACAGCTGTAGAAAATTGTACATTAATTTCATTTAACAACTAAGAAATTTATTCACATCAAAGACATGGGAGATCTAACTTAGAATTATTGCAGACTGACTATTTAATGTAAAGAAAGACTGGCATATGATGAAGCCTTTCATACCGTGAAAATTTGAAGACACCTTTTGAATTCAGGTTGGAATTTCGCTCTGAAGCTTGATAAATGGAATACATGAAATTTATTACTCCATAATAATAAACGCATTTCAACATGTAAAATATATATATACATATATACTTACATATATTGTAGTCATCCGCCCTTTTTCTACAACTTCACCTGACATCTTACATCTGGCAACCTCGACAACAGCTAGATGACTTCGCAAGCTGCGAGATGAAATCCTTCCTTCTGCGCGTGAGAGGATTCCGTATTTGAGACGGAGATGATTAAATGTGAACTGAAAGTAGCGACGCAGTTAAATCAAAGACTCAAAAAACCTTTTTATGATGTGATGATCACCGCTTTTTTGTGAAGCTGCGGGCTCAATCTTTCATCTTACTTCTTTTCATTTTTCTATGTTTCTTTAGCTATTAAATTACTAAACGTTAGTATCAGTGTCATCATTAGACCAAAATAGAATGACGTCCTACATGGCGGCTCGGCCTCTTGAACACTAGACCCTAGACTAAACTATAAAATACCGAGTATAACTGCAAATGGAATCCTGTGGATTTATCAAATTAATAAAAGCCTTATCGCATGCCGTGATGACTTGCCATTCCTCTGCTGCATCGAAATCATAAGTACTATGCTTCAGTTACTTCAAGACACCAATATTCTTCGTCGATGATTTATTTGATCATTATTTGATAACTTTACATTTGATGATTAATTGAAGTTTGATGAAATAATACTAATGATGAAGCAATGAATAAACGAAGCAATGCTCTCTAACCAAATGCTATTCATTGGTGATGTTATTATGCATATTTGATGAAGTTTAATTGCATAAACTAAAGGCATCTGATTTTGATGAAAATTAATTGAAGACTATTTAAAGAATTGCTGGTGTATTGTTTTAAAAAATTATTTTGAAGAATCGTCAGTTCTGTCGTAAATTCGTTCAATCGTAAACTCATTCGTTTTCGAAATTTTTGCCTTAAAATTTCTTTTACAAGAATGAGCTTTCATTAAAATATAATAGCACTCAAAGGTATAACAATACCGATCAAGAAAAACGTTCTGCCGACAACCTGATATCAAATAGAGAAAGTTTCTTCTTCAGTAACCCACAGAAGGCCAGTAATCACTGCACCTTCCCGTAGAAGGCAAAACATAGGTAGTCTACATATGTTATTCAGAAACTTAATCTCAATGTTTTTTAATCTTTTCCAAGAGGAATGTGCTTCGCCTTCGAAATATATTCGTTTTCTAGTCATTCATAGTCATACGAAGCTTAGACGGCAATGGCAAGTCCACAAAACGAAAGATTCTTCCGTTAGATTCCTTTGTTATCATCATTAGACTTGAGAAATTTCCTCTTTCTTTAGCTACAAATGAAGCAGCCATGACTCTGCGTAACTCCAATTAAATAATGATTTGATCTTCATTTAACATTTTTGCCAATATGTGGAAAAGCATTTTTGCGTCCAAGTAAATACTTGAATTTTACTTAAATGTTGATTAATAAATTTTTACTGAATTGTAGAAATGATCGTAATACATGTAATCAAAATCAATAATTAGAATAAAAATCAGAATGTAGACTATAAAGTAATACTGTTAGAACCTGGTACACAAAGCATGTTAACACAACTTTAATTTAAAATCTTAGAAAATATAGTATGTTAGCTTTGGGAATAAATTCAGAATTTCTGCAGTATGTACTGTATAAGATGAAGAAAGCAGTCGAGAAAAAGGATTGATAATTAATGAAATTCCAATTTTTTATATCCAGTTCAAATAATTTAGTGTCTAGAAAGATGGCAAAAGAATCAACGATAATTGAAAATAGTCTACATAAAACAAAGAGAAAGGTAAAAATATTGCTACTTATTAATTTATTAAGGAAAAACTAAACGACAAAAATATATCTGAAATTGAATTCATACCAACAGAAGGCTTCTTGCATATGAATCTACCAGGATGATTACAATTCTTGGCTGTCCAGCGCAAGGCATTAGAGCTACGTATCTGCTTCCATTGAATTGCCAAACACGAAGGAATCGGTATTTCACCCGCTTTAAAAATCCGCATATCTGGAAAACAAGGATTTCAAACTTAACGAATTATTGCTAAAAATTGAATTTTAAGGCATATTTTACTATAAACGTTCTTGACATTATGCTTTAAAATGATACAGCCATTTTAAAACTGAATTTTATATCAAATATTATGTTGCCTATCTTCGTGAAGCAAGTTTTAAATTAAAATATATTCAAATAAAGATTTGCGAAGCACCATACAAAAATATGACAAATTTAAATTATTAATTTTATTTGATTTTTTATCTTTGGAATACAGTCCAAATGAAAACACGTTCCAATAAAATATCCCTCCTATGCAGTTTTATTCTCATTCAATTAATACTTTCGACATGGAGACATTCACTAAAGAAAATATGACTTGCTTTAATAAAATATGGTGACCACCAAAGTCCGAGCAGTAAACTGCTGAATGCGATTTGTTTATCTGTCTGCGTAGAAATGTGTCTGATCCTCCCCATGTGGAACATGAATATGAATCAGTTCAATTTAAAACGTCCCCCGCATAGCATTCTTGCATTTAGCCAGGTAGCCCTCGAAGTCTTTAATCCAAATGAAGGGAATCCTATTAAAATTTGAATGCGTATTTTCTTTTCTCCGAGATTAAATTTGAATTTGATTGCACATGGGACATAGAAATTATTGATGATGGGGGATAATAATTGGGATAAACTACATAGGAATTAATTATAGATTTCAGGCATTTCAAGATTCATTTACCTTTTCTAATAAGGCGTTCTAATTGCTTAGAACTATAATACTTAATATATGTTTATATTACTAGATTACTTAGTAAACAAGAAATGCATTGATCACTATTTAATGTTGACGTTACGTCAAAAGTGTAGGATTCTTAATAAATGAGAGGAGCAGTTGCGACTGTTATCCAAATAACATCTTATTCAGGGGTAAAAATCTCTTAATTTAAAATTTATTGCATCTTGGAGTACATTAAAAACATTCTGTCATCAAACAGAACATCAACATTTTCTGTAAAATCTTACCAAATAATTCCATCAGTAGGGACATCTAAATTCAACTTCTATTCATTCCAAGGAGCCTTGCCCTATTTTCATTCCCCATCGTGTGATATTTGGCAAAATCAAGTCTGTTTACGATATGGCCACACAGCAACATAATTTCATTTTACGACGACGAATAAGTTTACACTCCTTCAAAATATATATACTTAAATTTTCGAGATCTTTATGACGGTGAGATGACATTTGCTTGATACTCGCAACTGTGTTATTTATTCGACATCTTTTCTGACATAAAGTCAACATCAAACGGTAACAAATACACTTGATACTGATACATGATCCATTCAGTTTTAAATAAATTAAAAATATAAAAATGATTAATGGATCTCAAAATACTTAAGTCGGTAGTTTATTTCAATATAATTCACCTTAATTGTATTGTTCTTGCCTTATTAATACTATTTTAAAGGTTCTTATATTAAACCCAAGTAGCACGGCAACGTCGTAACGCTGTTGCAAACTGTTGCGAGAGGTTGCAAAGTGGTCGTGGTAACTTTTACGACGTCTTTACAACGTTGCGAAGACGCAAAATATTTTAATATTTTCCATTGCATCTTGGCAATTTGTCAACGGCGCTGAAACTTCATGATATGACCGCCTTTAGACGTGGCCGTTTTAGCATTTTTTTTTTTTTTTTTTTTTTTTTTTTTTTTTGTTCAGCAGATTTATTTTTAGAATGAAAAGAGACTAAATCTGCTCTTTCAAGAATCTGAAGTTCGCATAAGATTTACTTTGCAATGTTTCATTACTTTATTTCATCTAACTATATTAATCTAAGGTAGATTCATCTAATGAAATGTAAATTTAATGTAAATACTTTTGATTTATTAAATTTAATTAGTACTAAAAATACGTGCTAAATTATTGTTTAAAATTGAGTTAAAATAAAAATATTTTTTATAAATATTACAACAAAAATATTTTAAAAATGAAACTAATCTATAAAGTAACTTATAAAGTTATGCATTTTACATATTTTAAAAAATCATATTTCCGAAATCAATGCAAGTCACATGTTAGCAATTATTTTGCTACTGAAATATGACTTTATTTATTTTTTTTTGAAGCAAGGACGAATTTATTTGAATTAATATGCTGACATAATATGAAACGTTTTTACCGCATACAGAGCAAAAAGTACAATTTTCGCGGAGATATGATTGTGCGTTGCGTGAAGATGTATTTACAATTATAAATGGGGCAATTTTAAGAATTCCGATAAAACGTCCAATGTTAAAAGACGTTGCATATCCATGCATATTTAACTGTTGTCCAAAATATCTCAGGAGAAGCAGAACGAAAAAATTAATGGAAAAGGAGAAAGAAATATTAGCACTTTTAATGGAAAACGACAAAATTAATGGCTTTGATAAAGTACTAATAAATATTGACATCAAAATTAGAGAAACTGTGAACAAAAATACGACTTCATTACGTAAAAAAGTTCTCATGAACTGTTTGTTACGTTTTTGTTCATCTACATGCATTTATAAATGCTTGGTTTAATCCTAGTATACGGTACACTTGGGATTTGGCGATATTGACATTACAAATATTTTAGCGAGCCCGATAAATATTTTTGTGTAAATATAATCTTGTGAACATTGTTCCTAATTCTATTTAGTTTAAATAATTCTTCTATGCCATTTAAAAAGAGTCTATTAAATCATCAGCAGAACCGTCGAAAGGTTTAATGCCATCGTATAAAACGCTAAATGTTTAGACTGAACTGCGTTCAAGAGATTGACATTCCATGTACATATTTACTGGATGATTATAAACAAACATCTGAGGTCGAGGCTTGCGCCTTTGACTAGCTGCCAAATTCGAACAAGTCAGTTAGCGGCGCAATAATTTCAGCCTCCATTTTATTTTCAGAAATATTTTCTTCACGGTTTTGTAATTCACCATCGGAATTAAATACTGGAGAGCTTCGATACAGCAAGAGAACGGTGGAAAGAATATAATGATGACAGTTTATTTTGAATTGAGGAGAAATCATGGTAGTAATGCCAAATTTCCGCTTATTTTGTTTGCGAATATCTGCTCTACAATGCAATGTGCTACGTCCTACAGTGAAATAGTGTTCTGTTTTAGTGTTTTATGTTTCTGTGGATTAAACTTACATGGTGGTGTTCTCCAATCTTCAGTGATCCAGCGGTGCAATATTTGGATACACGGATTCGGTTATAAAGTCCTAAGTGCTATATCGTATATCACTCATATTAAACGAACATGTTGTTTCTCAGACTTTCCGCATATGATCGAAAAAATAGTGTTAAGGAAACATTAGGATTACCATGAAATATTGTCATCTATAATTATGCGATATTTAAGTGTGTGATATTAAAAAACACTCAATATTTTTTTATTGATTGCAAATTGCAGTTTTATTACTTGTCGTTTAATAGCTTTTTTCCAAACACTGTGTAATTCGCGTTTTTTTAAATATTGCTGTTATGTACGTCTATTAGATTATCTCAATAAATGAATGTTGGAAATTAGGTTTTATTCTTTATTAAATTTAAGTATATTCTATTTTCTTCGCTTACATTTTATGTGCATATGATAACAAATAAATTCATAATAAAACAAAAGGTTTCATCGTGTGCTATTTAACGAAGAGCTTACTTTAACGTACTTAGCTTACTATCGTATACTACATTACTTAAATTATTTCTGTACAGTATCAAAAGAAAAGTTATTGATTATAAAAAGTGCATGAAATTATCATTGTAATCTACCGCTATTCTAAAATGTAGAAACTAATAATAAGTAAATACATTTACATATAATCGAAAGAAATGGTGTTAAAAACATCATCATTGCTAGTAAATACTGCAATCCATAATTATTGCACTTTTAATTGCTTACTATTTAAAAAACACGAATATTTTTTTATTAATTGGAAATTTTAGTTCTGTTACCTTCCTACTGCTATTTATACTTTCAAACACTACTAGTTCATGTTTTTTTCTTAAATACTACTGTCATGTATGTTGTTTGTAAGGTTATTATTTCATTTTAGATATGAATATGGGAAGTTATTAGATTAAGGTATATTTTTGTATGAAGTATTTTTGATCACATTTATTTACTACTTTATACTGTCTTTCATTTGCATATCTTGGAGATATAGAAGTTAATGGTTATATTTTTTACTGTGAAACGCGAATAAATTTATACTTGACTTCAGGTAAAATACGGATTAGGCACTTTAAGTGTGTGTGTGTGTGTGTGATTATGGCAAAGCACACTAGGGCTATCTGCCTAAGGGGAGGGATGCCTTCGTGGAGGACTTTCTAAGGAAAGCTGGCTCGTATACACTTTACACATGGGGAGAACCACGAAAACGCCCATGCAGCCAGCCCGTTCGCGGGATTCGAACCTCTGACCGAACTATCAGTGTTCAGCGAGTTTACCGCTCGGCCGCTGGTGGGCTATGTACTTTAAGAACCGCCTCCTAATTTATCATGACAGGGGCAATTTTCAATGCCTCTGAGATTTAACAGAAATAAATGTGATTATGCTGTTATCAGAAACGCTCTTTTTTACCCACATATGTATCTTTACTTTTATTTATGTCTAATTGAGTTTTATTTACTTAAAACCTACTATTAATGTTATATATTTATAATAACCACTTCCATAATTACGCATAATCGTAACTTCGAATTTAAGTTATTTATAAAAATATAGTTTAAAGTACTGAAAATAATTAAGGCTATTATTAATTATGCATATTTAGTCTAAGAGAAAAAATTGTATTATCTTCTGGTTTTCAGGAAATGATAAAATATTTAAACTTTAGATAAATACAAGGAATACAAAATTTTAAAAAAGAAGGAAAATATATTAATTATTAAGCTTATTTTTCTGCATAAATCAATATGTAACGCAAGTGCATAATAACGACTTTTCACAACTGTTGCAAAAA